AGACCAGGGAAAAGGTTTAACGGGTTTTATTGAAGAGGTTAAACAGAGGGAGAAGTGATGCTCTGAACACTGTTCGACCGGAACTAAAAAGTGAGGGGAAGACACAGCGGTTAGTTCAGGCTCAGTGGGGAATTTGACTCGTGAACTTGGAGAAGAGGATCAGGTTGTCGACTCACGTTTCCAGAGAAGTTGTTGAATCCTTGACTCCTGTCTATGTGCCGTGGTTCCAGTGTTTGTCTGATTCGGTGGAGGGCGGAACAGGTTTACCCAGAATGCGGTTGAAAATTGGTGAACGGAGAAACTGACTGCCACTCAGATTTCCTGCGGTACTTGAACGGGTCGTAGTGTAGAATAATCCCTTTCTCAGTGAGAAGCTCAAACGATCTCTTGGGGAAAGTGGATCCAAACCTCCTGTTTGAACCCCAGCTCAGTTTGAAGCTCAGTTTATCCTTCCAGGGAGAGAAGGTCCGAGAGATCCAGTTAGCAGGACAACTTCCTGCCAAGAGGCAAAGACAAAAACAAAGTTAAACTCAGGTTGACAAAAAAGCTCAGCTTGACTCAGCAAAAAACTCAGCTTGGCTAGAGTACCCGAAACTGGCAAACACTCTGGCATCGAAGTAGTGGCAGTCAGCAGCTTAAGAACACTCCGTTTAACGAGGAAACCATCAGCTGGTGTGTGAGGAGGCGGACCAGAACCAGGCGCCTCCTGCTGGTGGAAGGGAGACAAACACAGAAACACAAACACAAAAACGGAAGTCCTGACAGGATACATTTTTTGGAATTAAATATATTTTATGGGAACATATAAACAAAGGACTGGGAGGAGATGGGAAGTCAGGGACATCAGGAGAGAAAACACTTTGATTATTTTAAAGTAAAACGCACAGAGTTTAATAGCTAATAGGCAAGAATTTAAAGGGTTCATAAAAAATCTTAGGATAAAAACAGACATATGTATACAGGAAACCTGCCTTAAACCTAATTTAGACTTTGTTATTAAAGAATATACTGATCTACGTAGAGATAGAAATGAGATTCAAGGAGGAGGTTGTATGATATTTCTAAAAACTGGAATTCTGTTAGCAAAAGGAGTTCAATTAGAGTATATAGATGTGGAAGTTTGGTATAAGAAGCAAAATATTAAAGTGATATTTTTTTATTGTCCTGGTAAAGGAATCCAGTTTGAAACATTGAATGAAATTGATAATTAATTTAAAGGCAGAGTGTTTGATGTGGTGAGTTTAACGCACATACCTCATTTACTAAAAATGCTATAGTTATTGAAGAATTAATGGAGAATAAAAGTCTTGTATGTCTGAATGATGGAAGGGTACAAGAGTTAATACAAAAACAGGGAAACAGAGAATCGGTAATAGATCTTACAATATTTTCAAATTCGTTTGCAGGTGTAATTTAATGGCAAATAATTAACAAAATAACAATAGAAAGTGACCATTATCCCATAGTAACAGAAATAAACTTGGATATTGAAAAGTATGATATGGTGGGTTTAAAGAAATGTTGTTTTAATAGTGCTTATTGGGAAAAGTTTAGATTTATAAGTGAGCAGGAATTGGGAAAAATGAATTTGATCATGGAAGTTGATCATTTAAATTTCTATGTTTGTGATTCTATTTTACAGGCTGCTAATGAATCCATAAAGAAGAGAGAAGCCTGACATCTCATATATATTATAAAATATATGAGATGTCAGGCTCTTGTGAGAAAAACTATAAAGAATACAAAAAAGGAGAAACAGAGATTAATAAAATACGGTCAATGATAAGAAGGATGAATATGGTTACCCTGTCATGAGTGATGAATAGCAGCTAAGGATGAAGATAAGGTAGAAATTATTGCAAAGACTTTTATTAAAATATAAAAGCTCAGATAATATTACTCTGGAAGGAAAAAGGGGGAGAGAAATGAAAATATTAGAAAATATGCAGATATTAGATCAGATAGAATAGCACTTAGGAATATATATATACAGGGTTAATTAGATCAGTGATAGATTATGGAAGCTTTGTTTATAATTCAGCAGCAAGAACAAATCCACAAAATCGTATTCAGTACCGTGAATTGAAACTATGTAGAGGAGCAATTATAACTACTACAACGGCTGCATTATTGGTAGAAATTGGAGAAATGCCACTTGCATTTAGAAGAGAGCAATTAACATTAAATTGTTGGGCTAATTTAAAAGGTCATAGAAAGGATAATCCAACTCTTCAGGTAATAAAACCCTGTTGGGAAAAAGAAGCAAAATACTTAGTTTTGGTTGGACTGTGCAGGAAAAAATAACAGAATTCAAAATAGATCAGATAGTATAAGCCAAAGAGTTCCATTATCAGTTATACAACCTTGATTCCAGATGTTTGAGGAGATTTTACTTTATTGAAAAGAAGAAAAGATAAGGAATTCATATTATACTCATATAGCACAGGAATATTTTAATAAATACTATAGCAATTTGTAAATGAATACAGATGCCTCTTAAAATATAACAAATCAAATAGGAGTAGTTTTTATAGTACCAGAATTCAATGTTAAAATTTGGATAAAAATAAATGATGGACGTTTAGTTTATAGAGAAGAAATTATTGTAATATTATTAACTATATTATTACCTAACGGGTTGAAGAAGGAAAGTCATTAAGATCAGTTATTTGTTCAAATTCTAGTTCATCCTTAAATAGTTGTCAGTATAATCACTCAGAAAGCAGGCCGGATATTTTAATAAATATTCAACAAACACTATATAGAATAAATATGATGGGATTAGTAATAGATTTTGTATGGATGCCAGCACATTATGGAGGTAAAGGAAATGAGCAGGTAGATAAGGCAGCAAAAGAAGCTGTTCGAAATTTATCAGTGGATTTGATTATAAATTGTATTAATTCTGAAGTTAAAAAGTTAGTTAAACAGAGAATGAAGGATAAATGGCTAAATGAATGGGAGAAAGGGGAAAAAATGACGTTGGTTTTATAAAATTCAAAAGAAAACTGGAGAAATGAGAAGAGCAGGAAGAACTAGAAGAGAAGAAACATTTATTATTTTTATGGGCATACTGGTCTAAACAATGCTCTGTTTATCTTGGGGAAACATAGGAATTGTAAATGTGAATAATGTGGAGTAGATAAACATTTAATTTTGTACCATTATAAATATGAGGAGGAGAGACAGCAATTATTTCAAAATTTAAGTAAAGTAAAAGCTAAATTAGATTACCTTGAATTATTTAGAAGCTTTTCAGAAAGTAACATTTACAGGATAATATTTCGATATCTAAAAATAACACATTTGTATAATAAAATGTAATTTCTGAGAGTCATTCTGGTCCACACTCCGTACCAGTAGATGGCGGAAATGCATCCATTGTTGTAAAAAAAAAACAATTAAAGAATAAGAAGAAAGTCTCGCGGTATTTGCTGAAGCTATATATACCGCCACATCCTCCGCTCCCTCTTTCTTTTCCCCTGTAGCGGTGACGGTGCAACAGTAATCGGTCGTCCCGAAGCCGGGCTCATCCGACACCCTCACCAATCAAGCTGAACTGAGCTCAACCTTCACAGCAGCAACATGCCGCCCAAATTCGACCCCAACGAGATAAAAATCGGTATGTTTTATGGTAGTAAGCGCTGAAGTGGCCTCTGAGCCGAAATGGAGCCGCTGTTAGCCGGCTCCCCCTGCGCCTGGCGGCCCGCGGGCCGAGCGTTGACAACGGTAAAGATTTGACCCCCGAGTCGGACTGAAACACCCAGAGGATGATTGTGTGTCTTACTAGTGTTGTCGAGTGTGTTATGGTGCACGTGAAGCACTCCTCAGTTAGACTGCAGAAGGTGGTGGTGCTCCACGTGCAGACGTGCAAGATGGCTAAAGCTACGGTTAGCTATCTAAAGCTAATGTTAGCTAGCTGTTCGCTCCCCTGAGAGCTGAACCGCATGGTGATTTACAAAGTATTTATAAATCTGTTGAAGTATTTTCTCACGTTGATTAGTATTATCCTTTAACTTATTTCACTGTTAGCAATTAGCCATGATCAGTTTTTGAGTTTTAATGCTTTACTTGAACACTTATTTTATTTTAATCATAGTGTTATGAATTGTTTTTTCTTTAAAACTTTTGGAGGGATAAAGTTTTATACATATAAAAGCTGAATAATATGCTGTAAATACATCACATCTGTTTTAGATTACATGATGTCCAATTGGATTTAATAACTGCTACTGTGGTTTAATCTCTGAGTTAGAATCTTCCTTTAAACTGTTGATGTAGACACAGTTCAAAAATCTGGAAATAGGCATATATATATACAAATTGGTGTTAATCCTGTTATAGTAGCAATTACCAAACTTCTATCTTTATTGTAAATCTATTTGTTTTTTTAGGTGTAGAGTTGTAGATTTAACAGACTGTAGTTTTTAGCTGTTATACTTGGATTACTAAAATGTTTTTTTCTCAGCTCCTAGCTTAGGAGGATTGATGGTGGGGGAACAAAGATTCCAGCATCTTTTATCCCATTAAATGATACTGAGATATTAATAGGTTCGGCATTCAGACCTGGTCCAAATGACCAGAACCAGGAAGTTCTGCAGATAAAAGGCTACTTAGATGGAATGGGTTCAATGTTCCACATTGGCTGGTGCTGAGAAACATTGATGAATGGGGTTGCCATAGTAACTGCTTCCTTTATGTTTGGCATGAGCTGTGGTGGTTCATTGAGATCTTGTGATTTATTTTATGGAAAATTGTCAGAATCAAATTGTTCTTAAATTTAGCAGACACTTTTATCCAAAGTGACTTGTAAAGTAGAGTTTTAGCCACCGGAGTTCTGTTGCAGATTATCCTCAGTCTGTCGAATATCTGACTTGTTTTCTTGTCTTTAGTGTACATGAGGTGCACAGGAGGAGAAGTTGGAGCTACATCTGCTCTGGCTCCCAAGATTGGACCTCTTGGTCTGGTGAGTATCAGAGCTTTTCCCCCCGTAACAGCCTCCTGCCACTATGCCGGTCCATCACTGTGGCCGAGTATATTCCAGTGGAGGCTAAGAGCAACCCGGCTTTAGGAAACAGGGCTGTCCAAACCATTGGACCGCCCTGTGCCGAAAAGTCCGGAACACTGACCCGGATCGTCCTGGTTTGTCCTAACTCTGGTCTGCCTTTTCTTCTAATCTTTAGTCTCCAAAGAAAGTTGGTGATGACATCGCAAAGGCTACCGGTGACTGGAAAGGTCTGAGGATCACCGTGAAGCTGACCATCCAGAACAGACAGGCCGCTGTGAGTGGGGGGGAGTGTCTGTTAGCAGAGCTGCTCCAAAGTGAAACTACGGCTCAGAACCAGGCTGTCCATGCAGTAATTGGCAGAATGATACTGAATTCAGTTAAACCAATCAGGATCAACCCAGTTTGCAGATGACTCGTTATGTACTGCGATGCACTAATTGATAAATCCTTAATCAAAATGTATTTATATTGCACTGTATGACAACACCAGGGAGACCAAAATGCTTCACAGGAAGATGAAAACGCTGCAAAACAAAAATCATAAACAAAACGAGGAGTCTTAAAAAAAATTTGGACATAAAAAGGTGGAGATCAGTGAGAATCTGCAGACTGAGGGGCAGGTTCCACATTTTAGGTGCGGTAACCGCAAAGGAACAATCGCCCCATTGTTTATACCTGGACCTAGGAACGTCCAGAACCATTTGATCAACAGACCAGAGAGCTCTGCTGGGGCGATGTACCGTCAGCCTCATTCATGGTTCTGTTGGATTCAAATCTGCTGCCTTTAAACAGTTTTAGTCTGGATCGGCTTAGAGATGCTCCGACTATAGATGGATATTTAGTTATTGCACTGGGTGTTAAATATAAACAGGTTATTGCCCAGGGTATTGAATATTAATTGCACATTAAACATTGCAGAAGTTATTGATGTAGTTTTGCATTGTAGAGTCTGGTGGCAGTCTTTTGAAATCTGTCACCATCTCTTTGGTCTTACTGGTGTTACTGGATGCCTCTGCATACAGCTTCATTGATGCGGAGCATCAGCTTGGTTCAGGCTTTAAGATCAGGGATTTCTCACAGATGGGCGTCTGGTTCTGGAAGTTCTGACGGTCTGCTTTCTCCACAGATCGAGGTGGTTCCATCTGCTTCTGCCCTGATCATCAAAGCTCTGAAGGAGCCTCCTCGTGACAGGAAGAAGGTCAAGAACAGTGAGTGCTGCTTCTGCTGTTAAACAGGCTAACCAACCAGCAGCGGCAGCCATATTGTAACTATGTAATTGTTCTTCCAGTCAAACACAGCGGCAGTGTGACCTTCGACGAGATCGTCGGCATTGCGCGTGCCATGAGGCACCGTTCCATTGCCAGAGAGCTCTCAGGTGAGACTGCGTCTCCCCACTCAGCCTCCCGCCACTGTACCGGTCTGTCCCCGTGACCGAGTTTAGTCCAGTGGAGGCTCAGAGCGACCCGGCTTTAGGAAACAGGGCGGCCCGCGCCGATGGACCGTTCTGTGCCGAAAAGTCCGGAACAAATACAGGTGCTGGTCATAAAATTAGAATATCATGAAAAAGTAGATTGATTTCAGTAATTCCATTTAAAAAGTGAAACTTGTATATTATATTCATACATTACATACAAACTCATATATTTCAGATGTTTATTTTGTTTAATTTTGATGATTACAAATGACAACAAATGAAAATCTCAAATTCATCATATCAGAAAATTAGAATATTGTGAAAAGGTTAAAAATTGATGGCCCCTGGTGCCACACTCTAATCAGCTAATTAACTCAAACCACCTGCAAAAGCCTTTAAATGGTCTTTCAGTCTAGTTCTATAGGCTACACAATCATGGGGAAGACTGCTGACTTGACAGTTGTCCAAAAGACGACCATCGACACCTTGCACAAGGAGGGCAAGACACAAAAGGTCATCGCTAAAGAGGCTGGCTGTTCACAGAGCTCAGTGTCCAAGCACATTAATAGAGAGGCGAAGGGAAGGAAAAGATGTGGTCGAAAAAAGTGTACAAGCAAGAGAGATAACCGCACCCTGGAGAGGATTGTGAAACAAAACCCCTTCAAAAATGTGGGGGAGATTCACAAAGAGTGGACTGCAGCTGGAGTGAGTGCTTCAAGAACCACCACACACAGACGTATGAAAGACATGGGTTTCTGCTGTCGCATTCCTTGTGTCAAGCCACTCTTGAACCACAGACAGCGTCAGAAGCCTCTTGCCTGGGCTAAAGAGAAACAGGACTGGACTGCTGGTGAGTGGTCCAAAGTCATGTTCTCTGATGAAAGTAAATTTTGCATTTCCTTTGGAAATCAAGGTCCTAGAGTCTGGAGGAAAAGAAGAGAGGCACTTCATCCACGTTGCTTGAAGTCCAGTGTAAAGTTTCCACAGTCAGTGATGGTTTGGGGTGCCATGTCATCTGCTGGTGTTGGTCCATTGTGTTTTCTGAGGTCCAGGGTCAACGCAGCCACATACCAGGAAGTTTTAGAGCACTTCATGCTTCCTGCAGCTGACCAACTTTTTGGAGATGCAGATTTAATTTTCCAACAGGACTTGGCACCTGCACACAGTGCCAAAGCTACCAGTACCTGGTTGAAGGACCATGGTATCCCTGTTCTTAATTGGCCAGCAAACTCTCCTGACCTTAACCCCATAGAAAATCTATGGGGTATTGTGAAGAAGATGCAATACACCAGACCCAACAATTCAGAAGAGCTAAAAGCCACTATTAGAGCAACCTGGGCTATCATAACACCTGAGCAGTGCCACAGACTGATCGACTCCATGCCACGCCGCATTGCTGCAGTAATACAGGCCAAAGGAGGCCCAACTAAATACTGAGTGCTGTACATGCTCATACTTTTCATGTTCATACTTTTCAGTTGGCCAACATTTCTATAAATCCTTTGTTTTTATTGGTCTTCAGTAATATTCTAATTTTCTGATATGATGAATTTGAGATTTTCATTTGTTGTCATTTGTAATCATCAAAATTAAACAAAATAAACATCTGAAATATATGAGTTTGTATGTAATGTATGAATATAATATACAAGTTTCACTTTTTAAATGGAATTACTGAAATCAATCTACTTTTTCATGATATTCTAATTTTATGACCAGCACCTGTATAAACCTAGAGTCCTGATCCGGTTTGAAAGTTTTCTAATTGATCTGGTTCCGTTTTTGCTCAGGAACAATCAAAGAGATCCTGGGAACTGCCCAGTCCGTCGGATGCACCATCGACGGTCGTGCTCCTCATGATGTCATTGACGACATCAACAGTGGGAAAGTGGAGTGTCCATCAGAGTGAAAAAGATGTGGCAATAAAATGTTTAAAGTAATAGGCATGTGTCTTTGTGGTTCTGTTGAATTGTGAAAAAATGACGGCGGTCGAATTCTGCTGGATTGTTTCGGAAGGTTCTGGTCCAGCCTGCTGCAGAATGATGGACCAGTTTGGGTTCCAGAGGATGATTTTAGAGGGATTAATAAAAGGTTAGATGTGATGCAGGAGTGTCAAAAGTAGTTCCAGAAAGGGCTGTGTGGCTGCAGGTTCTCTTTCCAAACAATAGCACACCAGACTATTCATATGTTAAAACTGGAGTCTGGTGTGCTATTGTCTGGAAACCTGCAGCCACAAAGCTCTTTCTGGAACCACTGACACCTGTTCATTAGTGGTTTGAGGATGAGATTAAAGGTATAGTGGATGATTTTTTGCTAATTTGAAGACTACAAACAATTGCACATGTGCCACCCTGTACCTGATCCAGGGAGGGAACGCCAAAGTGTGTGAGATCATGCGCGAACCAGAGAGGAGCATCAGCGATTTAGCATAAAGAGAACTGGTGATGATGAGCAGAAGACAAAGGCCAAGGTGAGGCGGGTTCAGTGATCCTGCCTTGGCTGACTCTGGTAAAGAGTTTTCCTGATGGTTTCAGGTGAGGCAACGAGTGCTTCTAAGAGAATGCTTAGAACTGCCTGGGGAGTGGATCAGCAGAGCTACACGGTATATTGCACAGAAACCGTACAGTTTCTGTTACGCTGAACACATTTTTTATTCAGCTCTACTGGAATAAAGCAACTTGAAGGATGGCTTTATTGCTCTCAGCTGCTATGAATTTAACTCTACTCCAAATAGGTCCACTCAGATGCTGAGTTTCGAATTCACTGGCTGCATCCTCCAAGGATGCACATCGGTTTTGGCTGCAAATTCTTATACTGAAATATTTAAGCAAATTGTGCAAAAATTAAATCGGATTTATAGTCCCGTAACTGCAGATAAATTGGAATCAGTCCTTAAATTACAGCCAAACCCATTCACACAAGGCCTTTAAATAAATCAAACATTGCCCACCACACATCCCAAACTATTTTAATTTCAGACAGCTATTCACATACTTGTATTATATTAAATTGAACTTCCAATATTCGGCGCCAAGTACCCTTTACCTCCAAGGATGGAGCAGCAAGCTTGTTTGTTCTCGCAATGACTCCTGGGATACCCAAGGCTACAAAGGATACCCTGGACCCCTCCTTTACGTCAGGAAAAGGGCGCATTTGCAGGCTGCATAACAAGGAGTCTTGAAATCCTAACAGACCTGGGTCCAGCGCTATGACGTAATCTACGAATCTGGCCTTTAGAGGAAGCAGCTCCTGAATTGAATTCAGAGTTTAGCACGTGCACAAGTATGAAAGGCCATTAACAGTGTAGCATCGATTTGACGGATCTCCATGGCAACTGGAAATAGATTTTAATGAAGAAATAAAATAGGAGAATGTCTTAAAGGACAAACAATGCTACAGCTACAACCCAGAAGTTTATACGAAAGCATTAAAAGCACTTGTAGATCCACTTGTAGATCACTAAAATAAGATTCTTCCTGATCCAAATCACACTCTTAGACTGAACTGTAATAATTTAAAAATAAAATTTTTTTGCAGCAGAAACAGTGTCAAAGTAAAAAAAAATTATACAAGAATTATGTTTTATATATCTGGAAATGTATACAGAATACAGATTTTAATAGGCCGTTCTGACATCAGCTTGACTGAATATGAATCTCTGAAAAGAAACATTTCATAGTTAAAATAATACAAATCCTGACCAGTAATATTAGGAATATGGAGATATCAAATTAATTTCTAGCCATCCAGAATGTTTATTCTAGATGTGGAGAATGTTATTTTGTTTAAAATGGTCATTTAGACAAAGAAACATGTAAACGTGTTTTTTTCAGATGTCAGGAATACATATTCAGTAAAACTAGTACATATCAAAAAGGCTTATCAGAGCCTGATGTGACCGCAGTATTACGGGATTATTTCTTGAACGGTAGTAGACATACTACCATTGTTTTGGCAGCAGGTAAAGTCGAAAAACGTTCTAATACATGGAACCCGTACATCATCTCATGGGTTCCTCCTCATGTTGATTCTGTCTTCCATCACACAGAAAATAGTGTTTGCAGCCATTTTGGATGTTATCATCCCAATAAATGGTCATTATCAGTGGCTATCAGTCCCATAGAATGGCTTCAGATTGTGCCAGTAGGCTCAGTAGGTTTTTAGCACAGTAAATCCTAACCCTAAAGTAATTCCTTTCCCCCCATGGAATTAATCTATTTATGTGTAATCTGAAAATAATTTCAGTAGTTCTTCGTGTACTGTAAAACTAAATAAAATTATCTTCATTTCACACATAATAAACCAAAAACAACTCATCTCATATCCTGTGAACTGAGTTGTAGAATCCTCTCCCTATAAATATTTATCTGTAAAAAAGGGAAAATCATTCTTTATTAAGATCCTGATCAAACAGAGATGTAATGTTTGTTTTTAAAAACCTTATGAGTCTAACAGACCTAGTGAATATATAAATATTTTTGAACGCACAAAACTACAACAAAAATCAGAATAAATCATGAAATAGTGTAACTGGCTGTAAGGAGAATGGAGACAGAGGACACTGAGTTTATTGAAAAACACCTGCTGCTGACCAGGTATGTTCCTATGGTGACTGAAAAAAAAGAGGTTGAATAAACTCTTTGTGAAATGGACCCCAGCTGCTTTCCTGGTTTAAAGATCAATATTTTCAGGTTTTCTATACTCTGAACTATGACAATCAAATCTCTTACCCCATTTCCACTACCCTTGAAAAACCGATCTATGCCGAGACCGGATCAGTTAACCAGGCCGAGGTCGGTTCTGACGACCGTTTACACGTCACGCTATCTCGACTCCTCGCCTCCTAGTGACGATCTGCGGTATTACTGCCAGTATTGAAGGAGGAAATCAAGCAGTTGGTGTCGGTAATTAGGGATGCATGATATAATCGGCCCCCTATCGGTATCGGCCTTAAAACTGAATATCGGCCACCCCACCGATATTTAATCAGCTTCTGAGTTTCTAAAGTCTAAAAAAAAAAAATACTTCTTCCTCAAAAACTTCTTTTTTACAGACTTAAAAACTTCTAAAGACGAGGGAGAAAATAATGATACATTAAAATATCACAATATCTTCATATGCTGATATATTGCCATTTAAAAACACCATATCAATCTCTTTTACTAATGAAATATTGCTATATGTCATCGTTATGCTACGAAATCCTGCAGAAATTCACGAAATTTTGCCATATTTTTATATGTTGATATATTGACGCGGTATCGATCTATTTTACTAACAAAATCTCACAAGAATTTGCAAAATATCACGAGAGTTTGTAACAGAACGATGAAATTTCACGAGATTTTGAAAGTAAAATAGATCGATACCGCGTTTTTAAAAATCAATTTGATATCAGCATATGAAAATATATTTGAGTATATTATTTTTCAAAGTGTCAGAAATGGATAATAAAACTGCTATTTTCCATTTTTTTTTATTTTTGTCCAGCTTTAACATCAGTATCGATATCGGTTTTCGGCTAAATGAGTTGTAAAATATCGGCATATCGGCCAAAATCCCAATATCGTGCATCCCTAGCGGCACCAAAGGTTGTTTGCCAACCGCCATAAAACACAAGAAGAAGAAGACGAAGAAGGAGGGAATCAAGCAAATCAAAATGGCGGCGCCCTTCACATTCAGAAAGTTATGCTTATTATTGCTGTACTTCGGTGTTATTTAAAATGTTGCGTGGAGAAGATTTCGATTGTTGTTTATAGTTGAAGAAGTTGTTGTTCTTCTTCTTGTTTCCGGAGGGGCATTACCGCCAACTACTGGAATGGAGTGTGAATCGCGATGTGCAGCCAGACGGAGATGATGCATTCTGCTCATGCGCTCGTTATCAGAGAACCGAGCCAGGGAAAACCGAGCCGAGCCCACCTCTGGAACTGGTCTGCAGTTAGCTCGGTCCGGTTGGGTCTAGCTCGGTCCGGTTCAGTTTGCTTTCCATTTACACACGATAAGTTATCTCAGTTACTGAGCTCGGACCGGTCTCAGCACGGTTTTTCAGGGGTAGTGTAAATGGGGTATTTATTGCTGGTCATTGATCTTGGCTTATTTGACAAACAAGGTCTTTACTTCCATCAACTTCTGCAGATTCTAACAGCAGAACCTTCTGGATGCATTGTGTTCAACTGGAGCTGCACCTCGAAATCTTAAAAACCCGGCTTTATTTTTATACAAAACACTTTATTGAAAGATTTCAGCATTTATATCTAAAAAAAAGTACAAACGGATCAAAAATATCAGCTGTTCTGACCTGCATGGAGAACCTCCATCCATTTAATATTAAATGTGTTTTTTTTTTTTATGAAGCAGAACCAAAGTTAAACTGCAGACAAAATCTGAATAAATTGAAGTGAAGAAGCTCCAGTCCAGGTTCTGGAGATGTTAAAGGTTCCTCATCATGTTAGAAGAGAGAGGGGGGGGTGAGAGCACAGCTGTGCTCCTGCTTCCTCAGTTCTCCACCTCCTCCTCGTCAGCTTCCTCCTCAGGCTCCTCCATGCGCTGCTCCTCCTCCTCCTCATCCTCTCTGCTCTTGTCGTTCTCAGAGTCGTTCTTCTTCTCCTTGTCTTTGCGCTTCTGCTCGCTCACCTCCTTCTTTCCCTTCTGGTCCTTCTTGTACACTGAGGAAGACAAACCAACAGGGTCAGAAGGTTCTGATGGCATCAGAACACAAGCCATTTCATTGATTGTATCTTAAAATAAGTAAACATTTCTTAAATTAAGTGCATTTACACTTAATTTGAGTAGGTAAATAAGATGATCTGCCAATGGAATGAGTATTTTTGATGGGCCTTTCAGACAGGCTGCGACGACCGCACTGCTGCGCTGTGAAACCCATTCTTTTCAATGGCTTGCGCCGCGCCAGGGCGGTTTATCGCTGCGTCGAGCAAAGCGCAAGCACAGCGCGGCTCGCGCGCAGGCCAGGTCAAAGTTGAACTATGTTGAACTTTGACCGCGGCGCGCCGTGACGAATGCACGCGTGGCCAATAGAAACCATCGGCTGGAAAGACCAGGAAGCAAAATGGAGGAAAAGCTTATACTGTGTGTGTCTGAATTCCCCGAACTATATGACACAAATTTGCAATTTCTTTCACAAGCGGGAACTCCCCAAGCTGCTCTCTGGACCTGAGTGTTTCGTGCACCCACAGCCTCTTCTTTCTTGCTGCTCTTTTTCTTCGAACTAGCAGGGCTAGTGCTAGCGCTTGCTTCTTAGCACGGGTCAGATACATATTTGCTGCTGACCAAAAGCTGGAACAACAAACAAATGACCAGACCCGGCAACCCAGCCGGCGCAGCGCAGCGCAAATGCGCTGAACCAGCGCATTTGCCAGCGCAGCGCAAATCGCTTCCTATCTGAAAGGCCCTTTACTATTTAAGGGGTCATAGAATGCAAAACCGAGTTTCCATTGTCATAGATGTTTAACGTTAGTTCAGTTGGTGAAATTAACGTACATAGAAGTTCAAACTCCATCAATGCCTCCCTTCTCTGCAAATCTCTCAATTCTAAACGTCCGCCATAAAACAGCCGAATGACCGAGTTGACGTCACTTCGGGGATGTTGCCTTATTTGGTTCTGGCCTGTATTATTGTCACGCCCTTGCTGACTGGACCAGACCAAACCCGCCTGGTTTGATCACTCCATCCCCGCTGGCTGCCTGCCCCCGTCAGCCAGGGTTCCCGGAGCTGACGGCTCGGTTCTGCTTCCCTGTAGTCGACCAAAATTCCCCCCCGGACATTTTTTTATTTATGAAAATTAGGACATGTCCCGGAAAAGGTGGACGTCTGGTCCCCCTACCATACCAACAATCTGATGCTTCAGTGAGTGAGTGCTTGTTGCTATGATGCGTCTTTGCTCAGCAGCTCTGCTCGTTGTAAACCAACCAATCAGAGCACAGCTCATCTAAATATTCATGATCATTCCATAAAAGGAAGAAAACCTGTCATTTCATTCTAGGGCTTTTAACCAGGCTGCATTAGGGCTCATAGAACAGCTAATATAACATTTTCAGCGCAACCAATGTTACACACTCTATTAGAGACCTGAAGGACCAAATACCCTATAGAGTAATTCTATCACCCCTTTAAAATAAGATATTTAGATAAAATGCACGTGAAATAAGACAATGCAATTGTGTTTTCTTTTAAATGTAAATTGTCTCTTTTACCTCTTCAATCCAAGGACAAATGCACTTATTTTAAGAAAAAAATTACTTATCTAGATTTAGATTTTTTCCAGTGCAGTTCTGTTTATTTTATTCCCACTGAATAAACTTTCCAACCAGCTGTTGATTAGATCAGATCTCAGATTATTAGGGCTCAGTCTGTGGCCACATCTCCAAGAACAGGAGGAATGGGACTCTGCCCACCTTTCCAGTTCCCTGGCGGTGTGGCCACACTGAGCCGTGGTGAATCGCGTCGTCTGCGTTCCATTGAGGAGGGCTTCTTACTCGCTCTGAGCAGCTGTGTGGTGTGGAGGCTGCAGCGACTCAGACTGGAGGAACGTGTACTTGGTGGTGGGTTTTAAACAGGAAACGACTCGATGTTCTTCTGCATTTTGCACATTTATTTGAACCTTTTCATATTAATGCCCTTTGTCACCATTATTTCTAAACTAGTTTCCTTTTCTCCTACACTGTTTACATCCTGATCACTCCTGCACGCTATAAATGTTCATGTTCGTCTCACTGTTTCACTGTAGTAAGCTGTATGCAATGGGATTCCGTTTTCTATACACTCTGAATCAGGCCCAACCGACACTGCAGACGGTTTTGTAATCTAAGGCCACCTTTAAATAGTCTGGATCAGAAAGATGGGACCTTGATCTTCTTCATGCAGAGCCATCAGGTGACCAGGAAGCAGAATGACTGCAGCTTCAGAAGGTCCTTACCTTCCAGAGCTTCTCTGAGTGGCTCCAGGAATCTCTCAAACTCCATCTCCTCCATGGCTGCTAGCACGTCTCCTGCATTCAAAGTTTTCCTTTTGGCCTTCAAGGCAAAGTTATTAGCGCTGAAACCAGGGGAGAAACTTTTAGTTTGAACTTTGTGGGTTAGAAAGTGAATCCTGTCAATAACTGGATTTTGGCGACTCACCAGGAGGTGGCATACAACACAAACACGCTGGCCGCCTGGGAAATGGCTCGCCGGGCCTCTTTGGACACGTTCACCCCATCTGGGAGCTGTTAGAAACAAACGGTGCGGAGGAGTTATCTCCAAGCTGCAGACTCCAAATACACACGTCTTATCAGGAAACACGAGCCGCACAACAAGAGCTCTTTTTCTGCCAATCACAGACATGCAGCATTTGTCAGCCATGAACATAACCCTCCAATAACTGTTCCTGGTTCCTCTCTGGTCCATCAAGAGGATGTCTAAAGATTATTTCCCACCCGCTAACAATTAGCATTTTGCTCCCTTTCCACTTGCATAAAAAGCTGGTCTAATCCCTCGCTGGCAGCTGCATGGCCTCTGTCCCCCCCGCCACTGCGTGTCTGGTGACATCATCAAGCTAGGTTAGCGTTGATGGTGTCACCAGTGCAACAGAAATCAGGAAATAAAACAATGGAGAGCAACATGGAAGGAAGCCAGGGCATAGAAAGTATGCTTTATTGTTCCGCTCTATTATCTGTCTGAATCCCTCTCACCACGGCTGCTCCATGTTTATCGAATGTAAACGTTTGTTTTTGTTCGTTAAATCATAAGCGACTGACGCAGTGTGTTGATGTCATTACGTTGCATTTAATGGTGTCACATAATTTAGAGGGCCATGGTGTTCCCACACCATGCCGATCGGAGCCCAGGCTAATTTAACGCCTGTTCAGTGTTTAACTAACCCTATGTTCACATGGCAGCCTGAAGTGACCCAAATCTGATTTTTTTGCCCACATGCGACCTGTATCTGACCTTTTAATGGCAGTCTGAACAACACAGATCCAATTTTTTCCAATGCGACCCAGGCCACTTGGCTCTGCGGTCCTGAATCCGATAGGAATCTGATCTTTTCAAATGCGACCTGTGTCTGAACGGCCAGGTCGCATTCATCCGACCTGGACGCCATTAATACTCGACAAAGGTCACTATTATGCGTCTTGCTATGAAGAAGCGGCAAGAAAAACAACAACCATGGCAGATGATGATGCGGAGAGCAGTATTTATGTTCAACCATCTTAAAAAGATTGTGTTTTTATGGTTGGGAAAAGATTGCTATATGCGCTCCGGCACTACCATCCATGTTTACTTCCGTAAACACACGCTGGCCTGTGACGTCATCGCGTCCTCTACTGCGCATGCGGGACACTTGCGTTGTATAACTGCAGTTCACACAGTAGATCACATATATTTGGAAATGTGAACGGCAACGCAAAAAAATAGGATTTCACAAAAAAAAAAAAAAAAACGGAATTCAGCATCAAGGCCTGCAGTGAACGTAGCCTTAGTTTCTCTTCCAGACAAGCTATGGGCTTAGCTTTCAATGTGGCTAACTTGATGTGCACTCTTTCGTCCCTTTGACATGAAAACTAACTCAGAGCTCGTCTAATTAACTGTTTTTATCCCAGACAGAATCACCAGCTTACCTTTCATAACATAGAAAGAGGTTATACATCAGTACTCCTATGTTCCCTTTGTTCCTCTTTGAACCCCAGTCGGCCTCAGCAGATGGCCGCTCACACCGAGCCTGGTTCTGCTGGAGGTTTCTTCTTGTTCAAAGGGAGTTTTTCCTCTCCACTATCACTACCAGCATGCTTAGGGTGAGAGATTGCTGAAGAGTCAATGAGTCGATGCAATCAGCTGGTTTTCCTTAAGTACAATTAAACCAATATGATTGTATGATCCGATTAAACTGTCTCTGTGATGTTACTTGAGATGACCGACGTTGTGAATTTGCGCTGTAGAAATAAACTGAATTGAATTAATAAATTAAGTTAAATTAACTGATGTCATATGCCTTCACTTTTAAATAGTTGTAAACGTATGTAATCGGAAGCAATATATGAAAAAAGGCGACATGCAGAGTTGGAAGCTAACCTTGCAGGTGTATCCTAAATCGAACAGCTGATATAAGCAGATGGCCTATTAACCTTTTACAACTTTTAAAAAATATAAGTGTTGTAAGGCAGTGGCCCCAAGCATTTTTTTTGCACCATCCGTAGCTGTAGTTCTCTGCAGTCACGCTGGTAAAGTTAAACATGTCTTAAAAATAAGACACAGGTGCACGAATACAGCCTACTAACGACTCACAATAGCAGCGGATCAGTGGGAGCCCTGAGGAGCTTTGTTGCAAGGAGACGATTAGGTTTGAAGTTTTAATACGACACGTGAGTCACGTGATGTCATGGTATAGATCACGTGACTCGTCTGATGTCATGCTATACATCTCCCAAATCGTGTGATGTCAGGTTATACATTTTGTGACTCGTGTGATGTCAGGGTATACATATCATGACTCGTGTGATGTCGTGGTATACATCTTGTGACTCGTGTGATGTCGTGTTATACATGACGCGACTCGTGTGACGTCGTGGTATACATGACGTGACTCGTGTGACGTCGTGGTATACATGACGTGACTCGTGTGATGTCGGGGTATACATGACGTGACTCGTGTGATGTCGGGGTATACATGACGCGACTCGTGTGACGTCGTGGTATACATGACGTGACTCGTATGATTTCGTGTTATACATGACGTGACTGGTGTGATGTCGGGGTATACATGACGCGACTCGTGTGACGTCGTGGTATACATGACGTGACTCGTGTGATGTCGTGGTATACATAATGTGACTCGTGTGATGTCGAGGTATACATAACGTGACTCGTATGATTTCGTGTTATACATGACGTGACTGGTGTGATGTCGGGGTATACATGACGCGACTCGTGTGACGTCGTGGTATACATGACGTGACTCGTGTGATGTCGGGGTATACATGACGCGACTCGTGTGACGTCGTGGTATACATGACGTGACTCGTATGATTTCGTGTTATACATGACGTGACTGGTGTGATGTCGGGGTATACATGACGCGACTCGTGTGACGTCGTGGTATACATGACGTGACTCGTGTGATGTCGTGGTATACATAATGTGACTCGTGTGATGTCGAGGTATACATAACGTGACTCGTGTGATGTCGTGGTATACATGACTTGACTCTTGTTATGTCGTGGTATACATAATGTGACTCCTGTGATGTTGTGGTATACATCGGGACTTGTGTGATGTCGAGGTATACATAACGTGACTCGTGTGATGTCAGGGCTGACATACGTCACCAGTGAGTCATGGACAGATGTAATGGAGTGAATTTGGTCATTTTTGAAAATAAAACACCATTTAGTCTTGTGAAATAAATCAGTCGGAAACATTGGAACCTGTCTATTCTTTCTGCGTGGCCCCGGTACCAAAAGAACCACTAACAGGCCGGGGCAGGGATCACTGTTTTAAAGGATCCGATCGGTTATTGTTCCTTGCTAGTACGTATCAACACAAGACATTATGTGTTCTATAGAGGGACCAAAACAGGAGACAACTTTACAGGGACACTGGCCCCTATTGCCCCCCTCTAGATCTGCCAATGCATGCAGACCAGGCTTGGAGTTCATTTTGACTGGATTTCCATTGAGGTCAATAGATGAACCACGACCTCCCCTTTAGGTTCACTGTCTGTTTGTGACTGAGAGGCTCATCCTTCTTTCAGACCACCTGACCTCTCTGTCAGACACCTGAAGTCCTAAAGGAGAACTGCTAAATCTGACCCCAGACGGCTTGTTTTCCAGGGCAAAGTGGGGAAATCAGCCCCTCAGGCCGGGTGAGGTGGAGGGTAAGGCCGTTTCTCACCCCCCTCCCTCCATGTGCTCCTCTCCAACTCACCGCCTCCTTGATGATGCGGGTGATCACCGCGTTGGGAAGGTTCAGGTCCTCTGGCCGCTCCGCCATGTCTTCCGCTCGTGTCTCCTACCTCCTCTTGTCCCTTAATTACCGGCGCGCGCGCGCGGTAGCCGCTTCCGTCACCGGGAGCTGCGTCCGAATCAACCAGAACCAGCCGCGCGGCTTCACACACGTTTGTTTTTGGACGTTTCCCGCGAATAGTCCAGCACCACGAGCCCGCCTACGTCAAGATTTAACTTCGACCGCTGACGCGCGCGTGACGTACTTCCGCAGATTATAAAAAAAACAATAAATGCATAAACCCCATAACAAAATACATAAATTAAAAACAAAATGAAGAAAAACACGACAAATTCAGATATGTAAGATTAAAATCATTTTTATTTTACACAATTAAATCAGCTTTTTAGAACATTAAATATTGACTATAATATATTTGAGAAAGTTAAAAGTATTTTAGCATAAATTCGAATACGTTAAAATTAGCTTAAAAAACCTGATTTGATATCAAGGAAATTGCAATGGTCTGAAAAATACATTTATTTTGTTTTATTCTTTTCAAACGCTATAGTGAGGGACTAAAAAAAACACACTATCCTTTTTAGTACAAATGCAGTAATGTGTTTTTAAAATCCAATTTTATAATTAAATACAAAATAGACCTAAATAATATAGACTTAAATAAAGGGAAATAATAACAATTTAAAATCGAGCTACTGGGGACCTAATAAAAAATCTACTAAAATATAACAGTGAATTAAAGTTAACCAAATGTCCATGAACTAGAAAAAAAAAACTTTATTCAACTAAATAAGAGTTGAACATTTTTCATCAAATTCATTTAATTACATACAAAGAAACCCCTATAAATCAAACATGCTTGGTGTGAGGAATTGCTGAAGAGTCAATTACTCGATGCGATCAACTGGTTTTCCTTAGATAGAAAACTTTAGAAAATTTTGAACTAATCTGGCTGGATGATCTGGTTGAATTGGATCTATAAAGTGACCTGAGATGACATGATGTGAATTGGAGCTATAGAAATAAACAGAATTGAAACTGAATTAAAATTGTCTTCATATAACCAAGATAGATAGATAGATAGATAGATAGATAGATAGATAGATAGATAGATAGATAGATAGATAGATAGATAGATAGATAGATAGATAGATAGATAGATAGATAGATAGATAGATAGATAGATAGATAGATAGATAGATAGATATAGTATTAAATCCTTTATTTGAAGCTTCTTTTCTTAGTAAGGATAAGTTGTAGGTGAGTTGTAAAAAGGGGGCGGATGAAGCTTTTTAAGGAAGGATTGAAGGATTTTAAATGATTGTCTTTCAGGAAGGCTGTGCAGCATGAAAGTGTTGTCTCTGTTAAAACATAGGAAGCAAGCTGCTGGTTTCATTTCACTAATTGACATTTTTTTTCTGGACTGACTGAGACTGAGCTGCAGGCTGTTGTCACTGGGGTTGAACTGGAGTTAGGGGGGCTGTCTTTGTAAACTGGGGCCATAATTAGACTCAAAAGAATGTCATTAAACCAGCCCAGCTTCTAAAATTGACCTGAATAAAATGGGATGGTTTTAACTGGGAACATCTGATGCCAACTTAACGACTAATTAATAAACTAATCTAAAATGTTTAGGATTTCAGTTGATTTAAACAGGTATAGATCTAATTAGCTGATCCCTTTAGCCTCCTGGAAATATCCTCTGACCATATAAAAACTATAAGTTATGCAATGATTACCTTTTACCTAACTCCATTTAAAAAGTTTCAATAATTGTAATTTCTTTGTTGCTGCCAATAGGCTGAGCTGGAAGGAAGCCTTGTTTCCTGAACAACCTTGTTCTGGTTGAACTGGATGAAACTTTTTTCTTTCCATCCCTGTTCAGATTTAAATTTCAGTATTACCAGGTTCTCATATAATCCTAGTTAATTTTTATATTAAGTTCTGATGTAACATTAAATATAGCAAATGTTTCTAAATCAAATTAAATATAACATTTCCGGTTTGACCTGAATGTGAGTGAGCCAGAGGCAATTCTAATAAAGTGGAAATAATGGTTTTATTTTATTCAATAAATTTAAATTAATAGAATCCAAAATACATAAAAATAAAATCAATACTTGAAAATAATTCATATATATATATATATATATATATATATATATTTATAAATTTGTTAACCCTGCGATGGACTGATGACCCGTCCAGGGTGTACCCTGGCTGTAGGGACCAGCCCAACGACCCAGAGAAGATGCAGAATTTTATGTAAATCTATTTATTGTCCCACAATGGGTAAATTCACTCTGTGCATTTAACCCATTCCCTTGGGGAGGGGTGGGCTTCCACTGTGCAGCACCCGGCGAGCAGTGTGGGGTTAAGGGTCTTGCTCAGGGACCCAGAGTGCAGGCTGTGGGGATCAAACCGGGTACTTGCAGCTTTCTCAGAGCACAAGCACACTGCTCTAACCCTCTAGGCCAGGGGTCACCAACGCGGTGACTGCGGGCACCAATGGGGCCTCAAGGACTTCTGAAACCAGAAGAACTCACTCAGTAGGTTAAGTTTATTTATTTTTATTCTGTTGCTCTTCTTTTTACTCATTTATATATTATTTCATCATATTAACTATTTCATCATATTTCAGTGGTTTCAAAATGACAATATTAAAAAGAAAATTAGAAATGAATAAAATAATAAAATAAGAGTAAAAATGAGTTTTTATGGGTGAACACTGATCCCTCCAGTTCATAGGTCAGTATTGTAGCCCTTCCTATGACTCGGTAGCCATGAAGTAGCCCTCAGCCTTAAAAAGGTTGGTGACCCCTGCTCTAGGCCAACACTGGGCCAGAAGATGGATTATTTTGGAATTCACCTGCTGAGATGAAAAGGAGGCACCAGGGATGCAAAGCAGGAGCAACACAAAGAGAGAGGAGCAGGAGGTCTCTTCTATCAATCTTTACAGCATGTTAGAAGAACTCCAAGCCCTAACATGGGCCCAGCCAGAATAATGGCAAAGCAGCATGATGTGTTTTACTGAAATATGGCTTCTTTCTGCCAGGCCATACAAGCAGACAGAGATATAAGTTAGTAGCACAGGAGCACCACAGGGGGCGGTACTATCTCCACTCCTTTTTCTATGTTCACCTCTGACTTCCAAGACCAGACAGAGTCCTGTCATCTGCAGAAATACTGGGATGACTCTGCAGTCATTGTGTGCGTCAAAGATGGACCAGAAGCTGGTTAACATTTTTGTGGAATGATGTAGAAACAATCGTCTGATCCTGAATTTCAACAAAACAAGGAGACGATTGTAGATTTCAGAAGAAACGGGAACAAGTTGAATCCTGTTAACATCCTGGGTCAAGTAGTTGAGGTGGTGAAGGAGTAGGTGTTCACCTGGACAACAAACCGGACTAGAGACACACCTGTGAAGCCGTCTCCAAGAAGGGACAGAGCAGACTGGACATCTAGAGGAAGCTTAGGTCCTTCAGATGCTGCAGATCTGCTATCAGTCTGCTGAGGAGAGTCTGATCTCTTCCACCATCATCTGCTGAGGTAACAGCATCAGAGCTCATGACTGAAAGAAGCTCAACCAGAGAAGGCCGATCTGTTCTAGTAACTCCTCTAAAATCTCTGGAGATGATTTCACAGAGAAGGAAGAAGATGATGGATAACAGTGAGTGTCTTCTCCAGATTTGGTGCAAGACAGGGCTCTACAGGAGAAGCATTCTGCCTAATACAGATAAATCTAAGTAAAATAAAACACTGTGCATGGGTTAGGCTTTAGGAGTGTTATCACTGACCCTACATCCCAGCAGCTGTTAAGTCTTTAGAATCATCACTGCTCCAAATAAACAGAAAAAGTTTTTTCCTGCTGTTGTTTATGTAGAATTAAACATGCATATTTTGTGTTTCATTCTTTTTACTGCCAACCCAATATTGAACAGTCTCTTGGTCTTACTTTCTGTGTTTATATTTTTACCTTTGAATGTATCTGCGTGTTTGCTGTTTTACTTTGCTCATATCTGCCAAATAAGGGTTAGAATTTATCAAAACTTAGGATAAAGAAGTAGAAATTAAAATAAATGGTTAAAGAAATACACAGACATATAAATTCAATTCAATTCAGTTTATTTCTATAGCGCCAATTCACAACACGTCATCTCAAGGCACTTTACAGTTCAACCAGATCATTCAGTCAGATTGATTCAAAGTTTTCTATCTAAGGAAAACCAGTTGATTGCATCGACTCTTCAGCAATCCCTCACACTAAGCATGCTTGTAGCGACAGTGGAGAGGAAAAACTCCCTTTTAACAGGAAGAAACCTCCAGCAGAACCAGGCTCAGTGTGAGCGGCCATCTGCTGAGGCTGACTGGGGTTCAAGGAGACAGAAGCAGATATACAGAAAGCAGCTGTAAAAGGCGGCCCACACAGAGGATGAAGAGAGCACATCCAGCCAGTCACAGTCAGAGAAACAGGACTACACTGAAAAACGGACCGATCTCCAACATCTATAAACAAAGATGTTGATGGAAGCAACACAGCTGATATTTCTTTCCAGGATGGAGTCACAGCCAAACAGGAACAGGCCAGATGAAGCTACTATGAGAAAAGGCAGAGAGAGCAGAACGTTAGAGATTGAACTAACAGATTCTGCAGAGTGGAAGAAAAGAGAGAATGAGGCAGAATGGTGAAAAAGGGTCCCTACGTCCTCCAACAGACTAAGCCTATAGCAGCATAACTATAGAGATAGCTCAGGATAACCTGAGCCACTCTAAGCTTTATCAAAAAGGAAAGTTTTATATTTGTGTTTGATAATGACCAGGCGTCTATTGCTCACACCCTTTTGTTAAAGACTCTTTTCATGGGTCTAATCACACAGGTTTCAAACAGGTGTGTCACACAGACTCTCTTTTATGCTTTCACATAAAGTCATGATCGCCCACTAGTGGACCTACACATAGCAGAATGCAGAATGATGAAAAATGGGGTCCCTATGTCCTCCAGCAGTCGAAGCCTACAGCAGCATAAATATAGAGGTGGCTCAGGTCTAACTATAAGCTT